AAGGCCGCGTAATTATTTTCATGTACCATCTGAAATAAATTGCATTGAAATGTATTGAATGTGTGTTTTTGCACACGGGTTTGCTTTCAATACATTTCAATGCAATTTATTTCAGATGGTACGAAAATAATTACGTCGGCCTTATCAAGTTTCGCTGAAACGGTAATATCCTGACATACGGTTTGCAATAAGTTGTGATGCAATCGTCGACTACATTACTGTTCAATACTATTCATCATTATTTCATTACATAATACTGTACTCTATATTGTGTTTTATTTATTCATTCAATCAATACTTCAATACTAAACTCATTATTGTCTTTTGTCACTCACTTTATCATTGATTTGTTAACTCAATGTCTATAACACAATACATGTATGTTATCTAAAACATTGTAGTTTTCAATGCATACAATGATTGCATATATCATAGGAAATAATAATTGCATTCAATGTATGGCTTCAAAGTTGCGTCAAAATTAATTTAGTTTTACATTAATTGCACACAATTTTAGTAATCAATTGTTTTTGATATAAATTAAAACATTTTTATAAAATACATATCATTTTGAATGAGTTTTCTATTCAATAACTTTCAGTATATTTTAATAAGTGATAGAATTGAGTGAATTATACCATCAATTCATTTAGTATTAAACACATTGTCTGAACAATAGGTGCCCTAAATGTGGATAAAATTAATTGTAATACTAATTGAGTATTAATTAAAGCAGAATATTCTGTAACCAATTCTTGACATTAAAACTTCAAACATTAAAAAGCAGTGAAAAGCCAATGAATGGGACGTTATTTGTGAGCAAAGTGTCAAATATTGCGCTCTTTTGATGAAATAGTTTTGCGATTTGAAAGTGATTTCAATTTTAGCGTTAAATTTGTATTGAATTTACATTTGTTTTGATTGACAACAGTATTGAGGAGACCATCGAGTGATGCCTGAAATCACTTTCGCGAAGATTATTGGATTCAGTTCTGAAGATTCGGTGAGTTTTGTGGCCATCGCTCGCAGACAATACGGTTTATCCATGCCTTCGAAGTACTCATTGTTTTCACTGATTTGATCCCCGATTTAAAGGCCAATCACTTGTATGCAAACAATTTGCTCAAAAGCAAAGACTTCAAGTCATGGAAATGCGACGAATGGCAGACCAGCTCTTATGTGATACTCGAGACCAACGGTGACTACAAAGTGGACAACATTGAGATCGGGAACGACGGCTCGGCGTTTGTCGAGGTGTTTGTGGCCAACGCTGGCACCGCTTTGAGTGACCCAAACAGACAACTCAAATATCAGGTCCTGTTGTCCACCTCTTCGTTCATGACTCCATCCGATAGCAAACTACAGGCGAATTGTCAACGCATTCGTCAGTTCCCTAACGAGAAGCTCTCGCCCAACGCCAGGAATGAGAAGTGGAACCGATTCAAGATTGTCTGCACTCAACCATTCAATAAGGTGTGGAAATCATTGACTCCCACTCTAATTGGTTGCCGTTATTTCACTGCCTCTTCTCCTGTCAGACCATTCCCTTTGGATTGGCTTTCGTTCGGTTCAACACTCGGCCAGAAGAAGACGAAGAGATGGACATCACTCCCGGTTCGTCGGCCCTAAACATCGGACCCTTTAGATTGAGATCCGCTGCTAATGACGACCCGGAGTCAGACGTAAACACCGGAAGTTTATTTAGAAATAGAGGCAATCAATCAAACGCCGATCCGCCGAAGCCTTTGCCACTGACGGCCAAACTTAGCGCAACTCCCAAACAACCAAAGCCTCAAAACTCCGTAACACCTAAACCAAAGACACCGCCAACGGTTCCCAAACAAGGGTTACCATCACATTCAT